TCATGTGCCATTATTTTGGAGCTTGTTTGAGGCCATATAGTGATCTAATAAGCTTGCATACTTTCTTCTCTTGTCTAGAAGCAACAAATCCTAAATTTTTTGTCTATTTTATGATATACACACTCATCTGTTTGATTAATTTCAAATCTATAAGATAGTATGATCTCATCAAATCTCATGTGCCATTGTTTTAGAGCTTGTTTGAGGCCATATAGTGATCTAATAAGCTTGCATACTTTCTCCTCTTGTCCAGAAGCAACAAATCCCTCGGGTTGATCCATATAAATTTCTTCATCTAAATTTTTATTTAAGAATACAGTTTTAATATTCATTTGATGTATTATCAATTTGTGAATGGATGCTAGAGCTATAAGGACTCTAATGGTAGTAATCCTAGCTACTGGAGAATAGACATCAAAATAATCAATACTATATTTTTGGGTATATCCTTTAGCCACTAATTTGGCTTTATATTTATCTATTGTTCTATCAGGTCTGAGTTTCTTTTTGAATACACATTTACATCCTATAGTTTTGCATCCTGGAGGAAGATTAGTGAGTTCCCAAGTATGGTTTTGAACTGTAGATTGAATCTTATTATTTATAGCTTCCTTTCAAAACAGAGCATCTACTGATTTTATTGCATCCTCAAATGTAATTGGAGAATCTTCTACAAGTATTGAATAGAAGTCTTCATGGACCTTCTCTACTCTAGTTCTCTTACTTCTCCTAGGTTCTTCTGGATTTTCTAGTTGTCTGATTTGTCTAGAACTAATTTCACCTTGGTTAGAACTAGGATCTAAATTGCTAGAGTTAGGGTCTGTGTTGCTTACTCTGGTTTTGTAAGAATTTTTTTTAAAGTAATGTGCATCCCTAGCTTCAATAATAGTACTGTTAGCTGTCTCATTAATGCCAGAGTTGATTATTAAAAATCTATTTGCATTACTATCAGAAGCATTACCAATAAAGATTCCATCTACAGTTTTAGGACTAATATTCTTTCTCTTATTCTCAGGTATCTTAACTTTTGCTAAGCACCCCCACACTTTCAGGTGATCTAAATTAGGGTTTCTATTCTTCCAAATTATGTAAGGGGTTTTATCAGAATTCTTGAATGGAATTCTATTTAGTATATGGCAAGCAGTCATTAGGGCTTCTCCCCACAGGTTCTCTGGCACACCAGAATTAATTAACATTGAGTTTACCATGTCCATTAATGTTCTATTCTTTCTTTCATCTACTCCATTAGATTGAGGTATATATGGAGCAGTTATTTCATGGATGATTCCATTCTCTTCACAGAATTATTTTAGTTTATTAGAAGTGTACTCACCACCCCTATCTGATCTTAGTATTTTAATTTTCCTATCCAACTGATTTTCAACTTTTGCTTTATATATTTTGAATTTGTTTATAACTTCATCTTTGGTCTTAATTAAGTAGAGATAACAATATTTAGAATAGTCGTCTATGAAAGTTACGAAATATTTGTTACCTCCTCTAGATGTTCTTCCTGAATCACAGACATCGCTATGGATTAGTTCTAATGTCTCAGAGTCTCTATCAATAGTTTTAAATGGTTTCTTAGGAAGTTTGGCTTCTACACATATTTCACATTTTTCATTATCTTTTATATTAAGTTTTAGAATTATATTGAGATGTATCAATCTTTTAATTGAATTATAATTCACATGTCCTAATCTTTGATGCCAAGTGATAGAAGGTTTGATATCCAAAGCCATTGGAGATGCAAGGGTAGAATTCTTAACATTCAATTTAAAAAGACCATCACATAAAAATCCTTTTCCAATAAAATTCAACCCCTTAGTTATTACAACTTTATTTGATTCAAAAACAAGCTTATAGCCTTGTTGCACTAACAAAGATCCGCTAATCAAGTTTTTCCTAATGTCTGGTACATGATGAACATCCTGCAGGATCAAAGTCTTATCAGAAGTCAGCTTTAGGTTGATCCGACCTATTCCAGATACAGGAGGTACATTATTATTTCACATTGTCACAGTTCCTCTACTTGAGACCTGATAAGTGGAAAACAGGGATTGATTAGAGCAAACGTGAATATTAGCTCCAGTGTTAATCCACCAATCATTTGCTTGAAATGTCATGTTTACTTCAGGGGTGAAGAGAATAGACCCGAATGCAGTCTCAGCTGAACTGGAAGTGTTTACTTGTGACTTATTAGGTGGAGGTCCTCCCTTCCTAGATTTAGATGGTTCTGTCTTCTTGTAGAAGAAGTCCTTAGCAAGATGGTTGGTTCGTCCACAAACAAAGCATGCTCGACGTTCAGCTCCTTCCTTCTTTTGAAAGTGGGTAGGGTTCTTATTTTAATAAAAAGATTTCTTCTTAAATGTTTTGTTTTGATTTTGGTGGAATGGACGTTTCTTGTGATTGGGGAATGATTTGGATCAACATTGTTTACTTTGGGTTCTTTGGGTTCGGATTTTGTCACATATTTCTCCCTGAGTCTATGTTGCTCTTCGATTCTAATGACATTCAACACTTGTTCTAGGGTAAGATCTCCTTGGGTATGGCTAAGGTTTTTGGCAAAATCTGACCAGGACTCGGGAAGTTTGTCTATAAGGCATGCTATCTGAAATGTCTTATCTAAGATAGATCCATTAATTTTTAGTTGGTGAACTATATGTTCGAATTCTTGAATTTGCTCATTCATTGGTTTAGAATCTACCATTTTAAATTTGTTAAAGTCAGAAGCATTAAGTCTTTTAATTCCCATATCATCTAAACCATACTTTCTCTAGTGTTTCCCACAGAACTTTAGCATTAGTGATAGTATAATATATATCATATAACCTATCAGATAAGGCTCCTAAAATTCTGTATAGACAATTATACTCTATCTCTTGAGGTATTCTCGGGATGAGAATGGAATCTGTGGAGGAAGATGAGGAAGATTGCCTAGTAATTGGTCTAGATGAAGATGGGTTGTCGGGTTCTATGACAATTATTAGATTTAGAGTTGTTGACCAAAATCTCATTTGGTTTTGCTAACGACGAAAATTGTTCCCATCAAACTTCTCTGGTTTAGCAGACATAATTTCACTTGTAGTCATAATCTGATGATGAATGAATAATTTTGTTATTATAATACAACATATATGATTTAAACATTCAAACAACAGAATTAAGTGTAACATGTCGGTTTTATAAGATGTAGACTGCATTAGCATAAGAAACATGATACGAAACAGAATACTAAACATACTTAACATACTAGACATGATATTATTCTAAACAGCTCAATCAGTTCTTGGATTGTTAGAAATATAGCTGTTTAGACAAAAGGTAACACGAAATTAAGTTTTAAACAGATAATTATTAAATCAGATAATATCATATTAATATTATAACACAGAAATAAAATTAATTCAAACAAAAATTAAATAAGGTTAGAAATACGACCTGATGATCGAGACGTGCAATGAACTGTCCCAAGAATCTAATTGCCCCATCTCGTACAGGACTACGCGGCAATTGTTCTCGGAGATACAACGACCCTCGGTCAGATGAGCTCATTCTCGTCGGCACGAGCTTCAAGAAGGCTTTGCGAATTCTTCATAACTTTTGGGGAACCAGCAGAAGTGTATCAGCAAGAAAATAATGCGAAAAGAGAAGAAGAGAAAGGAACTGTTGTATTTTTCACTATCTTTTAATCTCTTGCGGCTGTAGGTTCTTTTATAGGGTTTAAAGCCGTCGTTTAGATCCACCATTCACACCTTTCAGATCCGTCGTTCTTGCCTAGCCGTTTCCGTTCATCAGCTCGTCATTTAAGTCCATAAATCTCGCGACAATTAACATGTTTTAATGCTAGCCATTTGCATTCATCCAGCTACCCGTTTAGATTCTTAATTCTCGCCTATTAATTATGTTAACCGTTATCTGTCATTTAGATCCGCCAATCTCGCTCTCCAGATCTACCGATCTCGCCCATTTGTGCTTAGCCCCGACTCCGAGTCCGAACCCTCTTTCGTGTCGACTAGGAGTTGTCGTCTCGCCTTTCGATTAGCAAAAAACAAATATTCAAAATGTAGCAGGTAAAGGGCCCATTAATCCGGAGCTGCATTCGTGTTCGCAGGTCATGGGCGCGCGCCATTAAACCCGACCGGCGCGTGTGTGGTGTGGAGCATAAACTTTATTTTCTTCTAGGCATAGGAGAGAAAGAGAAGACTTATAAACAACCTATCTTGCCATCTTCTTTCCAACGTGAGACTAAACTTTTCCTCTAAAAACTCAAATTTTAAGTTACAACTCCAACAAGTCTAAGAAAAGAATTGTTTGTGCTAGATCACTTTTCTAGTGCATGCGTTCTTGGGACCAAAGAAAATATACGCTTGTAAATGCCATCATTTTCCGTTTTTTAATACAATTAGTTCTGATAATTGAATCTCATTTTACGAAAAATATCATCATATCCCTCTGTCAGCAAAAGAACCCAGCTGTCGGTCTGCGAGAAAAATGACAAAGCTATGGTGACCACAACCTTAACAGAGCGACTCCGTCTTTTGAGAGGTCTCGTAAGACGTACCAGCGAGTAATGCTACCGCGAAACTATCGAAGCTATCGAAGACTTTTTTTTTGGTAATTAGTAATTACGAGCAACTCCAGTTTGCTTTATTACAGACACTCTGGGAACGCTAGAAAAGGGAGCGTCAAGTCCGAGCACGCTCAGATGTCAGGAACAAGGGAGTCGAACGTCCTTGTCAGTAATCAGTAAGGGCAAACTCAGTATTTTGGGGCCTCACCAACATCTCCGTCAACGCTGTAGTATAGCTGACGAGAATGCCCCTAACGGACTCCCGCTGATAGTACCTACGCCTTTTTTCTCAGAAATACCACCTCTACTTTTGTCATTGACTAAAATAACCTTACATTTTGTTGGCATCACGCCGGATGTTTGAGGGCAAAAATGTAATTTAAGAAGTTCATGTGCAAACGATTTTGTTCGAGATCTCGGAGGTCGATTTCTTTGCTTTTTTTCCCCCCTTCTCTGCCTTCGTTCGACTGTAGCACCTTTATTCCGAACGTTAAACCTGATGATAGTTCTAACGCAAAATCCAAACCCTGGTTTGCTGCTGTAGTACGGGTCAGCTCGTACTCCTCCAGTGAAGCTCTCAACTGTTTCAAAAAAATTCTCGGGAACCCGAAGAATTATTTGCGAAAGAATTGAGGGCAAAGTGACTGGTTTTGAGATTAAAGAATATTTTCCCGCTCTGATACCATATCGAAGTCTCTTTCTTTCTCCGAGTCCAAGCAAACAGCAATTTTCCCGGCTTTATTTTCCCGTCTGTAATGGGAGTATTTTTTTCTACTTTAAATTTGGCCGATAGAGGTCGAAGGGGCCAAGTCGAAGGGGAAGGCGGAGGAGGATACAATGATAAATAATATATTTTAAAATCATTATAGAGGTTCTCTTATTTATTTTATCAGCGGCGCATCTTCACATTTTGATTCGGTTGGCTTCGGTAAATTGCGATGTCCTGAATTTTTTTTTTCCACCCCCTTCCAATTTAATCCCCTCTTCTTCTCCTTCTTTCTTCGACTCCTGAGATCCTTTCTTTATATTTAATTGAAAAGTAGAAAGAAGCGTGCGCTGATTTGTCCCCCAAATTGGAAAAAAAAAAACAAATATTAAACAAAGCAGTTTTCATTAAGGGGCTTTCCTTCTTTTGAGAAGAACACGGTGGTAGTCTATTATTCACCTCTCTTCTACTTTATCTTATCCCAATATTATAGAGCAGTATATAGACAAAGAGGGAGGGGGTTGTTTCATTTTTGTCCCTTTTCGGATTTTGAAGAAATTGAAGAAGGAAGTTTGATGGGTTGGGAGACGGGATCAGGAACAAGAGGAGTAAGGGGGAAGTGGTGGAGGAATAGGACTACGGTGGCCGTGGTTTGGGTTGTGGTCTCGATGGCGATATGCATTGGGCTACATTGGTATTTTAGGTGGGATAGCATGAGAAAAGCCAAGGATAACTTGGTCACCATGTGCGATGAGAGAGCCAGGATGCTTCAGGAGCAGTTCCATGTTAGTGTCAACCATGTTCATGCTCTTGCCATCTTGGTCTCCACCTTTCACTTTCAGAAGCAACCCACTGCCATGGATCAGGTGAGTGAATCTAGATCTTCACATTTTCGTCGTTTAGTTCTTTAATTTTTTTTGGCTAAATATAGTAGTCAAATTTTAATTTTCGTCGCTTTGTTTCTCCTTTGGGAGAGAGTTGGTTGTCTTATGGACTTTGGGTAGCTTATAATGTTTAATTCTTGTTCATTCTCCTTGAGATGTCTGCTTAGCAATTGAAGGGGGTTTACATCCATAAATATGAAGCATTACAGGTTCTATCCTTAAAAGAAGCTTTATGGAATCAAATGACATAAAGTAAATGGTCATTGTTGTTAAGCCATTAACAGGCTGGTACTTGGTGCACCGAGTATTGGATCAAATGGATAATCTACTTTTTCAATTGAGTGATTTGAATGACTTCTTGTGAAATCTCATGAAAATATTATTCATCTAATCTAGATTCTTTTCTAACTTTATTTTCAATTGGGCGTGGCTGAACTTTTTTTTTTTGGTATTTAAAATTATTGTTGAGACATTACTAGGAAGACATGTCCATTTCCTTTGTTTTTGTTTCAGCGAACATTTGCTCATTACACGGACAGAACATCATTTGAGCGACCATTATTGAACGGGGTTGCATATGCACAGCGTGTTCTTCACTCTGAAAGAGAGAAGTTTGAGAATTTGCAGGGGTGGACTATCAAGACCATGAAACAAGAGCCATCACCTATTCAAGATGAATATGCTCCTGTTATTTTCTCTCAAGAGACTGTCTCCTATATTGAAGCCATTGATATGATGTCTGGCGTTGTATGTCCAAGAATCCAAATTAAGGCTTTTTTTCTCATCATCAAGCTGTTATTTTTGGCACTAAATTTCATTCTGCTAATGCAGGAAGATCGTGAGAATATCCTAAAGGCTAGAGCTACAGGCAAAGCTGTTCTTACAAGTCCATTTAGGCTTCTTGAATCCAATCATCTAGGTGTAGTTTTAACATTTCCAGTTTACCTCTTGGGTCTTCCTGCAGACGCAACAGTTGAAGAGCGGGTCGCAGCAACTGCAGGGTAAGCTATATTGCTTTGTTCTTCTGTAACTGCATTCACTCAAAGTCCTCAGATTAGGACCACTTCTGTCAGAGTGAAGTCATGAGTTAACCCTCAATTTCAATTGATTATTAGTTTCTATATGGATGATTTTACAGTATGATCTTCACAAATTGGCCTCTAATATTTATTCTTTTTAATTTTTGTTTGGGTACTTCATGGTCTGAAAAGTATTATGATTTCTACTCTGTCTCAATTTAATCATAGAACCTCATGGGTTCTTTAGGGAGCATATTCATAATTCAATCTGTCTTTACTGTTCGAAAATTATGATTTCATTTCTTCAGTTAGAAATTTCTGCATTCTAGCATATTTTCTATTGATTCAAGTGCTTTGATGGTGTTATTTTAAACCTTCTTTGCTGTGATCTTTATTTTCTCCTTTAACTAATAAATAACGTCTCAGCATAAGCACGTTAGTATATATTGCAAATGTAACCGTGGGGCATAGCATAACTCCTATGTTCTACAAGGAATTTTTTTTCCATGTTTATTCCCTTCTCTATGACTTTGTTATCAAATAACAGGTCAGCCGTGTGTTTATTGATTTTGGGTGATACATGATGGACATGGGTACGGGTAAGGGACATGGAAAATTTGTAAAAGGTAGGGTACGGGGTCAACCAGATATATGTATGTTATGTATATTTACATGTATTACAATTAATATTTTACATAAGATCAATATTTTTTATTTACATAAGATAAATATATAAGAAATAGGTGAAGTGTAGAATATATGTCCAAAAAGTGTGCGAGGAGTGTTTTAAATTAAAACATGCTATAATTGAGTATATGCTTGAACAAACATATGCATATATTGAAGAAGTGACCGAGAAGTTTAGGTATGAGTATGTGTCGAGTACGGGTATGGCTTCCCAATAGAAGTACGCAGGTAACATAGGCCCACATTGCTGTTTTAACAATTTAAACTAATAATATCCGGAGATCTGACATGCTAATACCATGTTTTTAGTTTTTACCTACTTCAGGTAGTGTGCTAACAGCGTACCACCACAAAGTATGACCTTTTTTAGTCATGTCCAGTTAATGTGTTTTTCCCAAGGAATTATACTTACATGGGATTAGTTTCCCATAGATAACTTATTAGACACATGGATTCTCCATGAGCGGAGATTAGACATCTGTCAGATTCATCTTTTACATATTTGAATTTACATATAACCAATATAGATATGTTAGGGACTTTTCTGGGACGTGCCTACACTATTACTTGCTTGCATTTCTTTATGTTATTACCTTATTAAAAATGAGGATGTTAGATTAAGTCTATTGGGTATTGGGTTAATGGGCTGTGACCCGTTAACCATACCCCTATTTGTATAACTATATATATCTCTCTTAGTATCTGAATAAATTAATTAAGTTAGGGTTTTGCTCTCTCAATTATCTCTTTCTACTTGGTATCAGAGCATGAAACCCTAGCCGCCACAAATCCTCATTTAAAAACCCTAGCCGCCGCCGCCGCCTCTTCTCCTTGCCGCCGGCACTACCACCACCACTAGCCGTGCCGCTACAGTG